GAGCAGAGGCAGCCTGCAGGAGGAGGCAGCAAAGGCCATGCTGCTGGTAGACCGCTGTGTTTGTAAGATGGACGGGAGACCAAACTGCTTTGTAAGGAGACCAAACAGATCACTTAATAAAAACAAGGCATCCTACGATGAACTTCTCTTTCCATATTTATTCCTCTCTAAACGCAGCAGTGCGCAGATTATAGGAAATGGTTTTACATTTAGCTTCAACCCCAAGTGGTAAAGAAAAGCATTGTATCTCACAATGTAAATTTGCATCTACCATCACTTAATGGATGTTTTATACATGCTATGTACTACTGTGTTTTTATGGAAAGGCAAAAAAATTACTTGGGAATTTGTTTTTAATTAAGCAATAAGGCTCAATGGGGTACTGCTATCATGCAATAAAACCACTCCTGGGGTGTTGTGAGGCATTTGGTCCAGATGAGTGCTTCAAATCACCCCCAGATTGTGATTAGATGATTACTCCCCGGAGTTAATATTAGATAGTTCTCTCTAGAGTTGTCTTATTGCTATTATAAAAAGTCTTCAACATGGGGAAACTAAGTAGCTTTTGTGCTTGAAGAAGATGAAGTTCGCAGTTCCGACTGTTGAGCGGTGCCTGAGCCGCGTGGGTCCCATAGATCACTTCACCTCTTTAGCCTGCATGAACAATCATCTCCGCGCATTTCTCAGACCCAAACAGTTTTACAATTAAGTGGCTTTCTTTTTTTTCTAGGGGATGGAAGGATATAAAGAGGCAAACAACTCCAAAATAAAGCAATCCCAAGACAAGGCACTAAGGAATTTGATTCTGAGATACGTATTACTGGCTTTATCTTTTCGTAGGGAATAATGAATCCTAATTGATATTATGCTAATTGTATTAATGAAGGCTAATGCATGCAGTAGTGGTAAGAGAGTCTCCCAGGTTGGGTGCAGGAGGAGCTACACAGGCTGAGGCACCTGGCGGGCTCCAAAACTAATGAATTCAGACGGCCCAAAAGGTACAGAGCCAAACTGCACTGCCTTCCCCTGCCTCCCCTCAATTGCTCTTCAGGACTGAGGTTAGAGTCAAAGTATTTCATTCTGGAAGAAAAAAAAAACGCCCCCCCCCAGGAGAAAAAAAACCAACAAAATAAGGCCTTCTGCATATCTCATTATACCAGAAAAAGAGACATCGCAGGAAATGTTAACTCTTTGCAGGTACTCACCACTCCCAAAAAGGCAGGATGGTAGCTCATGCATATGGACAACTCTTGCACACCCCTATCACACAAAATCCCTCTGGTTTCTCAAGTGGGCAATTTCACACTTTCACACTTACAGTGAGATCCTTCTCACACATCCTTTGCATTCTGGCCAGCGTCACATTTCCTACCCTACACAACCTCATCAGCAAGACATTACCTAAAAGCAGGTAAGCCTTCCATCTTGTAAGAAATCCCTGGGGCTCCTCCTTCAGCTCAGCACCTTCCCACTGCAAGATCCAACGTGCCAATGGGCAGAGATTCCAGCCAAACTGAAGCATGCTCTTTCCACGATATCAGCACAACACCTTGAAGAAACACTGCATTTCTGTTTTTCCCTTTTATTTGAAGAACGCAAAGGGAAACTATATTTCCTTACTTTTTCCTTACATTTTTTTTCCTTCTCCTTTCACAGAACTCTTTGCAGTATGTACTCAGTGCACAGAACTTCCTCAGATGCCCCAGGCAACCACGACAGCTCCTTTCCTGCACAAATGGCACTGATGTGGGGCAAGGCACGGATCCCTCACAAAGAGATGATTTTTTCCTTCAGAGCAACACACACACTCAGCTTGGGCAGCAGTTCCAAAGGAGTTTTCCAAAGGAAAGCGACCAAAGCATGTTTGTCACATGAATAGAATCTATATGCACTCACAAAGCGGGGCTTCTGAATGAAACTCTTTGCGTGTCTTTGACTTATCAGTCAATCATAGGTGAACACATTTACATCTTTTTAAATTAACTGATGATCATCACACTCTTGTTCCCTCTGCTTTTTTCTCCATTTTGATATTTGAAATGCCTTATCTATGTAAGTTTACTGTTTGAAACACCTAATTGTTCACCATGGTTTATCTTGTGCAACAAAAGCACACAGTGAATATGAGATCACTGTTCAAATATAACAGGAATACTAGAAGAGTTCGAATGACCAACGTGCACAGAATTACATTACTAGGGAAGGACAGTCGAACCCAAAAATGCAGTCCTCCCTCAGAGCGTGCTGCAAAATGCTGCTTTAGACATTTCTCTTCTTATTAATTTCACGTTTCTTCTCCAACATCACACCTCTCTCCACACCAAACACCCGCTCTGTTTCATGGTTCTGGCATTTCACACTCTTACCTCAAACCTCTTTTTTACTCTCCTCTTTCATCCTCTTTCATACCAATCAGCATCTGCTGCAATCACTGGGTGAACACTACACACAGTGACAGGGCAGCACACCCAGCTTACTGCTCGCTCATTGCTGGTACTCACCCCTGCAGCTCCACAGAACAGAGCAATGTTCTCTGCTGCGAGTTCCCTTCTGGGCAGCTTCTCTGTGAAACGTGGAGACTCACAATGCCCAATCCAGCACGCACCCTGTTAAGAGTGAAAGAAAGCACAGTTAGCAATGCAACCCCCCAAAAAACCTGAGCCTAAGTAACCTGGATAAAAGAATCTTCTCTACTGAAAAAATACAACTCCTTGCTTCCTTGCTTCTCACACTCACTTCTACAGCTACAAAGCGCTGTCGCTGCTGTAAACCCAACAGCCCACATGGAAGCAGCCAGAGGTGACATGGGGCAGGCAGGGATGGGATCCAGGTCTGCGCTGTGAGGGAAGCACACCCACAGTCCTGGCCACTGCAGCTTCTCCATCACTGCTGCATCTTCCCACTGAGACCCACCTGCTGCCTGCTTGGTCCAGCCCTGCAGGAGGATGCTGGTGCATCTGGTTTGCTCATGGCTTTAAATTTCAAGTTCCATCAGACCTCAGTACCATGCAGAATGACACTGATGACATCATATGAAGAAGATTTTAGAAATAAAATATCCTCCATATTTAACAGTATATATTAGTAGAATTACATATTACACGCTGATCCAAGACTCCACTGAAATCAGAACTCTTACCAAGCTTTGGATCAGACCTTCAGATCACTTCTGTTATTACAATTACACACTACTGTGAAGAGAGCAAGCTATTAAACCAAAACTGGCTTAGCAGGAAGATTCTTAGCATCCTTCATTCCCACTACTTGTTTCACCACTACCATTATTCATCACTGAATATTAAGGAGCAAGGAAAATACCTCACAACTTTACAGCACCGAGATGTGCAGACAATTGCCAAAGCTCAACACAAACACCAGTGTAGACAAAATGACTTTGAAACATTTCTCATCACACTGACAACCGTGGATTTCTTTCTTTCTTTTTCCTACAACCTACCAAAGAGCAATTCATTATGATGTATTTATACACAGCATTTACATTCAGCCTGTGCCACTGGCCTCTTTGGTCACTTTTGTTTGTTCAGTATGCCAGCTCTTCCTAAAGGCTGCGTGCAGCACCACGGTGGTACCGCGCACCACCGGAGAAACACAGCTGAACATGTGAGTAGGGAAGGACTAGGCACAGCAAATGCAAGGTTCTTTACGATGCAAACTTGATAGCTTAGAATCTGCATGGAATAGTGTTTTTGTGCTCCTTGCACAGCACAGCGTTTGTCACAGCTGCAGGGAGACCTGAGCTGAGCTGTATATCAGCGGCTGCTCACATACCACACAGCAATGCTGCTGTACAAACAAAAGCACCTTTCTTGTATGTCGTTTCCCAACACAAAGGGGATGGCAGCAAGCAAGCCTCATGGCTGCTCTCAGCAATATTTTAATCGCTGGCAATCTCCTTGCAGGCAGGCCCTGAGGAAGAAGCCAACAAGTGGGCACTCCCGTCCTCGGCAGAGAGGAGCCACCAGGTCCCAGCAGCCGCTTTGCTGCCAGTGATTTCAGTGTATTTGAGCTAGTAATTTTTTGGAAACGTTTGCAGTTTGGATCCGTAGCGATGGAACCAAGCATGGCTCTGTGATTTGTGCACTGCCAGACTTGGAAGCTCCGAATATTTGAAGCACACAGTGCCGAGACGCAGCACAGACTCACAGATGTGTACCACAGGGTGATTCCACCTGCAGCCAGATGACACGACGCTCATCCCTCCATGCACACCACTCGCACAGAGGTAACTTTGCCGGTGTATGATGACAACGAGGCATTTTCTCCCCCGCAGAGCTCACCTGCAGCTGCAGTTCCCTTTATTTGCTCTGAAACCACTGCACCCCACTCGGGCACGATAGTTCTGCTACCGCTAAACGAGCGGCTCGTGAGCAAACAACGGAGGCGGCGGATCAGACAACGGCACCGGCGCCAGGTCAGGACACCAAAGGCTGCTAACCCAGGCTGCAGCTGCTCCGCCCCTTAGCCCGGAGGCGGTGTGGCCCACAGCCGCCCCTCACTGCCCGCAGCATCGGCGCGTGGAGCGCGGCCGCGCGGAACGCCGCACTGCGAAGCGCTTCGGCCCCGAGCTGCTGCAAGCTGCCCGCGCTACCGCTGCCTGGGAAAAGGAGATTGTGGGGAAAAAAAACACATTTCTAATACTTTGACAGGTCCATCAGTGCCCATTAAAAATAGAAGAGCTATTACAGCCAGCGAGCACCTCAGTCAGATGCCAGCCCCTCTGACGGAGCCCCGCGAGGCCGAAGCCGCCCGACACAAAGCGCCCCGCCGCCGCCGCCCCACGTGACCGCGGCCAGCCCGCGAGGGACTTCCCCAGCAGGCCGTCACGGCGTGCTCGCTCTACAGCGCCCCCCGGCGGCGCTGAGCTTTGCCCGCCGAAAAGGCGGAGCGCGCCCCCGCGGCGCGCCGAGCTCGAGCGACGCCCATTGGCCGGCGGGCTCTGAGTGGGCGGGGCGGGAGAGCGGGGCGGGGCGGCTGCCGAGCGGAGCCGCTTGGCGCGAGGGCGGCCAGGGAACAGCGGTGCCGCGGGCGGAGGGACGGGCGTCAGGTGAGTGCGGGGCGCGGGGCTCCGTTCCGAGAGGGACAGCGGCTCTGCGTGAAGCAGCGCGGGAGCTCGCGCCATGCCGGGCCGGGGTCCGCGCGGGCTCCCATCGGCGGCTCTGCGGCGAGCGGGGCGGGCTGCAAAGAAGGCGGGGGAGAAAGAAAGAGGGAAAGAACGCCCCGAGCGGCCGCGCTGCCCGTGCTGAGCGTTACGTGAACTCCGCTCGGGACACGGGCGTGCCCGGCTCGCCGTGCACGGGGCTGTGGGGGTTCAGCCGTCTCGCTCGCGGTGGAGGCGCTCCGCTTAGCGAGAACGAGCACGGAACCGAAGGCGCGGGGACAAAGCTTGTTGCTTAGCCTGCGGGAGCGCGTTTCGCACCTGCCCGTGCGTAGGGGCTCTGGGAGGGTCGGAGGCCTCCGGTCCCCCGGTGAATGACTGCTGCGTGCTCCCGTGCGCTGCTGTTCTCTTGGTGCTTGTGCAGCCCGGCCCGCTGTCAGCTTGGTCTGCGCCGCACTCGGGCGCCCGGGGCTCTGCCGGCTGCTAGCGAGGGAAAGGCGAGCCGCAAGCGGGCAAAATGAGAAGCGGAGCGGTGTTCGTTGCTCGCCCCGGGCGCTCAGGGCTGGGTGGGGAGGAGCTTCTGTCAGCCCTGTGTCCCGAGGCCTCCCAGCTGCCAGAACCTGGAGGAGGGAGAAGTCTGGAGGGAGGGGAGGCGAGGCGCGGAGCGTCGTGCTGCTGCGGGTGCCGGCAGAGTCGGGCCGGCCCAGCGCTTGGTGTGATTGCGGATAGCGAGACCTGTCCGCGCAGGTTGGCTGCGGGGCTGAAGAATCAGGCAGAACTGCTCCCAGCGTTGCTCTGCCTGCACTTCAGCTGCATACAGCCTCAAAAGCATAGCCCAGGCTGAGTGACCCGGGAGTACTGCCAGGCAAGCATCAGCATGGCTATTTATATTCATAAGTTAATAAGCACTCATTGTTAAAAAGTGAAGTTGCGTGCAGACAAAATAGTATTTTTCCTTTGAATACCAACTGTACAAACTGGATATGTTTGATCACATGCAAAGTCAACAGATCATGACACAAAAAAGAATGGAAACTTTGCCATGCTGAAAACTCTCATGTAAAGTAGGATGCCAGTAAAGTACATCTTCCCACTCTTCTACCATGTGAGGCATATGTGCATTTGCATCACTCGGTAACAGGCAGCGCAATCTGAAGTCACAGAGCAAACCTGATGAAAAAGGGAAAAAAATATCTACTAGAATGACTAGAATACAATTTATGCTCTGCTTTTTATACCACATCACTGTTGTTCCTAAAGGCAGGGATGCTTCATAGTAAGGAAACCATATTATTCTGAAACTGCCATACATAGCAGTTCCATTCCAAAGCAGCGCTGAGCACTATCTGCAGTGAGTCATGCTATTAACATGGAATCTGTCTGTTGTTTAGTCAAGCCTTGGGCTGTGTAGAAATTCGGGGCAGGGCTGCTCTCCCTCACGGTGGGACGGGGTGAGCCACCCCTTACAGCTGGCTGCCTCCCCACAGCTGAACAGGGAGTGCAGAGTTGTACTGAAGCTGTTGTCCAAGCCTGAAGTTAAGCAATGTGAGTCCCACTCTTTTTTTCTTTTTTCTTTTTTTTTCTTTTTTTTTTTTTTTTTACTTCTGTGCTCCAGTTATTTACTGGAACGTTATTACGCCTGAGGGGATAGAAATGGAAGAAAAAAGCTTTTATTTTGCTTCCCTGTGAGAACTCCTTAGGGAAATATCCAGGCCTAGAGCAACAGATGACACTTCTAGTTGTAGCAGGGAGATTTTCCCAAGAAGGAGTTAGCTTTTCTTAGTTAACTCATGGCTTTTTACGTGTGTAGCAATCCGGAGGGAAGAAGGTACTCTCTGTGTGGAAGCGTGACACTTAACAGGAGCCCCTTTTTGTTTCCTTCACATTTCACACTTTTCTACTACATAGCTGCTCACTTTGACTTCCTCTGAAGGTATTTTCTTATACTACTTCCATCTCTCAGATGCTTTTTTTGTAACTATTTAACTTACGGTTAGCTTTAAATTGCACATCACACTGGAGGACACACACGAGTGGGTATATTTCACACTGTCCAGCTCCATCACATCTGGACTTCAGGACCCTGAAGATTTACATACTCACAGGAAGAATTGGGAGGCCTTGGCATCCTGCCTTTAATTGAAGGAGAAGATTCACCCAGGGTTGTCCTCTTTTGGTGACATGTCAGCTTGGGTTTGCCTGGCTGTGTGCGTTTCCAAGATCCCAGCAGCTCCTGCAAGACAAATCTTGGGAAGGTTGTCAGGCAGCAAGCAGGGCTGATGGAAGCCATGCTGGTATCCTGCAGACAAGCCCCATGCTGCAGAAGGTGCTGCCTTTGTGCATCAAAAAGAAATCCCAATAGCTGCAGCTTTTGAGAAGCACTGGTCACACAGCACTGCTTACAAAAAGCTATTAATGCAGAGTCATTTCCTTCAGGTTCCCTCACAGGGCTGAACCAGCACCATTACTTTGTACAGGACTGCTGGCCTGCTCTAAAGAAAAAAATCTGGGGACTGGAGAGAATTGAGCAGTCTGTTAAATAGCTTAGGCAATACATAAACAGTGCACAGCGACCTCGAACAGCTATTCTGCGGTTTCCCTTGTAGCATTCTGAAAGGTATTTGGAGTGAAGGGCAAGACAAGAATGTAAATCGTCATCTCAAATGCTCAGAACTCAGCGTGTTGTTGTCTTTGCCTTCCCTTTCCCCCACATTCCAACACTCTGGCTATAAGGACTCAAAGATGGGAAAAATGTGGCGAGAGGTTCTATATGGGTTATGGTCTGAAATGCTCACAGAAACTAGGACTGCACAGATCCCTGTGATCTGTGGGCTACCTCGTGATTGCTGAACTACCTCTCTGTAAGAGGAAATGACTCACTTTCTCGTGGATTGTTAGGCCTGAATAGTCTTGGTGTACCATTAAACTCAGAAGGAATTAGGTGCACTGAAAAATTTAATGTACAACATAAAGCACTTTTCTTACTGCAAACTATTAGTAGCACAACATCAGCGTTTGCTTCAGAGCTACCTTTATGTACGTTTTAAAAAACCACAAGCACCTGGGCTGTGTGAGAACAAGGGTGCAGAGGTGCAGGGAAAGATGAGCATGCTGCGATCTACTTCCCTTTCAGCAGACATCAGGCTATTTTCAGAGTGATGTGTCTTATAACTGGAAGCACAGGCAGCCAAAGCACAGCTGGGGCAATGGAGGAAGGAGCTGGCTGTGTGTTTTTTTTTATTCATGTAGCTGCTGCCTTTTTGCTTTTCTTTTTTTTTCCTTCCTTTTTTCTTCATTTTGTCATGCAGGGAGGATCAGTGGGAACAAACAGTAGAGCACTCTGTTTGGTTCCAAAAGTCTGCCTCAGCTCTGACCCAAAACAGCATTCTGGGCGGTGTGTATCTGTAGCTAATCTTCAAGAAAACGAGCGTGCAGGCAGAAATGGGAGACTGGCTCCAGAGACCACAAATGTTCTCCCTGCATCCAGCCCATCATCAGCCAGCTCACAGCACTAGCACAGTGCCTGTGCAGCTGTGCTCACTGCTGGCAGGGACAGAAGGGCCTGGCCCTGGACCCCGCCAGCTGTCACAGTGCAGAAACTCCCCGTGTATGAAGTATTTCAGGCCAGTCTGCTTTCTTTCATATGGGAATGCAGTTATACTGGTAAAAAGCACGGTTGTAACGGAAAAGAGGGTTCTGTATTAGAGAGCTTCCATTGCTGAGAATGGAACCACCCCAATGCAGGCCAGATTGTTGCAAAGTGCGGTCAGAAACTTTGAAAAAATAATTCTAAAAGGTCATAAACTGATGTGAAGAGTGGAAAAGAGATTATTTTAACCTCCACTGACATGAGAAACTTATCACGTGCACGCAGGCTCGCTGCTCGGCCTCGTCCTGGTGGTCTGCCAAGTGCAGCTTCACCACTTCTTTATTTTCCTCTCTTCAGGGTGAGCTGGAGATGGTGGACCACCTCGCAAACACCGAGATCAACAGCCAGCGCATTGCTGCTGTGGAGAACTGCTTTGGGGCTTCTGGACAACCCTTAGCTGTGCCAGGGAGAGTCCTTTTGGGAGAAGGGATTTTAACCAAAGAATGCCGCAAGAAACCAAAGCCTCGCATATTCTTCCTGTTCAATGACATCCTCGTGTATGGGAGCATAGTGATTAACAAAAGGAAGTACAATTCCCAGCACATCATTCCCCTTGAAGATGTCACTTTGGAGACGCTGCCCGACACCTTGCAGATGAAGAACCGCTGGATGATCAAAACCTCAAAAAAGTCCTTTGTGGTTTCTGCGGCCTCCCTGACGGAGCGGAAGGAGTGGATCAGCCATCTGGAGGAGTGCATCAGGCACCTGCTGACAAAGACGGGCAGGCAGCCCTCCACAGAGCACGCGGCCCCCTGGATCCCCGACAAGGCGACAGACATCTGCATGCGCTGCACGCAGACCAAGTTCTCCACGCTCACTCGAAGGCACCACTGCCGCAAGTGTGGCTTTGTGGTGTGTGGAGACTGCTCCAGGCAGAGGTTTTTGATGCCCCGGCTGTCCCCCAAGCCCCTGAGGGTCTGCAACCTGTGCTACAGGCAGCTGCTGGCAGAACAGAAGAAGGAAGAGGAGGCTGACTGTCGGCAGCCGGGGCGGTACCGTTCTGCCATCCCAGGCTATGAACCCTCCAGTGGTGATGACAGTGACAAGTCTGATGATTACAAAGTTGACCAGTGGCCAGCAGACACAGAGTTTTATACCTCAGAGGTGTCTTGGTCATCTTTCCATAGCTGACCTCCTTGAGAACCAGCGGTGTTTTCATATTGGGAAGCCAACTTCTGGCCTCCAATGCATGTCCTTCTTGGTGTGTTCTGCGGAGGCCGTGCCTGGGAAGGTGGATATTGGCCCCTGTTTGTGCTGTCTGCAAGGGGAACAAAGGTCATGGACTACCCCAGGTCATTCTGAGAACGTCTCCTATACACAAGCACAGAATGACAGCTTAGAGAAGAGGCTGGACTAGAGATCAGTCTTGATCCAAGTGAGTTCACCTTTCTGTGCCTTAATCTTCCTGTCTGCAAAAGTGGAGCAATAATACTCTTGGGAAAAAAAAGGAGCTAGCAATCATAGCAATCCTTGGCTGAAATACACTTGCCTGCTCGTGTTGAATTCCTCCTTCAGAGGTGACGGGACCTTCAGACCCTTCTGGGGCTCTGCAGAAAACTGGTGCTTTTGCTTCCCATGAGGCATTCTCTGCAAAGAACAGAGAACTTCTAGGGCAGGCTCTTTTCACAGGTATTACATCAACTTTAGAGATTGTCATTGCAGCTGTGCAAACCTGCCTCTCCTCAGTGGGTGGTGAGATAGGTATGGACTTTGACTTCTACACCAGAAATTCTGAACTTCGGAAACACTAAGGAAATGGCACTGTGAATGCATATGAGGCTCATCAAAGGGCTGGGGCTCTCATAGAAAGAAATCGTGATATCAGATATGTGTGCTATCAGACAAGGAAGGGAGGGATGGGAAGAGGGACAGGTATGTTTATACAAAGGAGAGAAGGAAAAGGTTTACTGCAGCTGACTCAAGAGCAGAGCCCCAGATCTCAGAACCAGGCAGTTTCACCAGATTGCTAGAGAGCTGATGACCTCAAGCCTATCAGGAAAAAGAGTTGCCCAGGGAAGACTTTTAGCAAGTCTTAATCTGGGGCATTTTTCTAGAATTTTTAAAATCAAAGAGGTTCAGCATTTTGATTCCCACTCCCTTCCTGAAAAAGACCTCAAGGAACTGAACACTCCTGTGCTCCCTCACTTGTATCAGTTGCACAAGTCCAAACTTAATGTCCTTCATGCATCTTCAGGGCTGGAGCACAAGAAAATTAATTTGAGATGAACTTAAAAGTTCAAAATAAATTCAAATATTTGAATAAACACAGTTTACTTCTGTCATAATGTAGTGCTGGAGTAAATATGCTGAAAATCAGACAACAGCAATTATATTGCAGCAGACAATTTCCACCAACTCAGTTAATAATTTTAGTATATTTTTGTATGGTGTATTTTATTTTCTGGGAAAGGAACATGGCTGAGAATACACCGTCAATGTTATGAACCATTTCCTTACCAGTTTCTGGTCTAAATATGGCATTGAATTCCACGTGGCCAGATTTAGATTTTTTTTAAATTTAAGCTCAGAGTAATCATTCTTACTTTATTTTGTAAACTGCCACTGTCCAATCAATTTGTATTACTTGACTGTGTGGGAATAAAGATACAGCCACCAGGAAGAAGCCAGAAAATGTCAGTGAAGTGTGTTGTTATTTTACATGAGCCTTAAAAAAGACAGATGCTGTGATTCAGGCATGGCCAGCCAGCATGAAATCCAGCTCTTAGCAACTCTTCAGCCATGAGATGAACATTCTAGTCTTGTATTTGCTACCAGAAGGTGAGTATTTTGGAAGAAACTGCCAAACCTGATGCTTCCTTTCTGTTTATACTCTGTCCGAGTTTTCCCAAGTCTTTTGCAATCCCCTGTGGTAATCTATGTTGATTGGGATGGGATTTTTCCGGTGGGGCCACAGCTTGGAATGGGTCAACAAAGCCTTCTGACCTAAACAGATGTTTTTTAAAGTAGTAAGTACACCAAGTTCTGTTTTTTTTCCATCCCTCTTCGAGTTTAGTTCATAATTCTGAGCAGCAGTGATTGTTTTTATAATGCCTCCCACCCACCAGAAGGGTGTATATGCTGTGCAAACAGAAAATGACCTTAAAAATAAACAGCCATTAGAACAGTTCACAAGCCAAAAATAGCACAGTTGTTGAATCAGTGTGCATAACTTAAGTTCCAATTCTGTACTCCATAGGCAAAACTCTCAGTTTCTTCCCAGTAATTGGCTTCAGAAACGTATTCCAGTTTTGAACCTATTCCTCAGTCCTCTTAGAGATCAGTTTTTCTTCTATATCCAAGGGTCTTATTATTATCAATTCCCAAGAGATCTGTGAACTGTTTTTATCCACTAATGGAGGACAGTCACACCTCTAATCATCACAGAATCATTTAGGTGGGAAAAGATGTCTAAGATCATCTAGTCCAACAGTCCACCTGCCACCAGAATTGCCCATTCTCTGTGTCCCTGAGTACCACCTCTACCCTCTCCTTAAACACCTCTGGGAACAGTGACTCCACCACCTGCCCAGGCACCCTGCTCCAATGCCTCACCACTTCTTCTGTATGGAAAAACAGTCAAGCACAGAAAAGCTGTGACACCCGTGAGACTAAGGACAACTGGCAAGACACGCACCACTACTTTAAGTATCAGTCTGATTGTTGCTTTAGGCCCGAAGTGCACACTGGCACTTGCACTTCCATGAACTTCAGACGGACACACTGACTTCCTGTACCTTCATATTCTTTCTCAGTTTTCCATTCTTGCAAGACAGTCAGTGCTGCTCTCAGTGCTGCAGCCATGCAGACAGAGCTTGAGGGCATTTCTCAGCAGCTGCTCCTGCAAATGCTGGCTGTGCTGGTGCTGATGGGCAGGGAGACCTGGAAAGTCTGGGGCTGCCACAGGTTGGAGAACACGCTTCTCCTGAAAGACCTTAGATACAGAGGGTATCTGGCCTCCTCAGCATACGGGTTTTACATTATGGTCAGTGCTATTACAGTCAATCTTGGAGTTTTCCAGCCTGATTCTATCTCCAGTGCATTAATGGGGCACTTCCTTTTTCCTTTTTTTTTTTTTTTTTTTGTTTTTTTTTGCTCAGTACTTCTGCCAAGGACTCATTAAAATCTGAAAAAAACAGCAGAAGGAGCAGCAGTCTGAATGCTCACTTGGAAAAAACATGCAGGCAGGAGAGTTTGTGGAGTCACAGCCACTCCCTAAAGGACTCCCAAACACAATGTGTGGGGATTAGTTGCCAGAAAGGTTTCCTTGCACAGGTTCCTGCCTGAAGATGTTGAGACCCAAACACAGCAGCACTGTGTGACCATTCCAGCAGGGGTGGCTGGTTCAGGAAATCCAACTGGCTGAAATTGGGTCTTTCTGTTCCTTTGAGCAGAATCTGGAACCCAGTCACTGTAAGAGAAACGCAAGAGATTTTTGGCACTCAGCAAAATCTCTGCTTTGCAGCTGGGCACACGAGTCAGATGACAGTCCCCAAAGCTGCAAGAGAACAAGAGAAACAAAACTGGAATGTTACCAGACCTACTGAAGCTGCTGGGGTTTCTCCATCAGTGACAGGCAAACAGAGATAAAGGCATTGCTGTGATGAAATCCACATTAGCCCTTCACAATCCCTGGGAAGGAAGAAGAGACACTGCCACAGCAGCCAGTCACAAAAGCAGAATAAAAGCAGGGAAATGTGATCTGTGAGTAAACTGAAAAGAAAGGATGGAAGGGTTTCGGTGGAGAGGCGTGTTCCTGCCTGAGGCACAGCCATGGAACACCACAAGCTCTGGAGCACACTGCTGACTCAGCACAACGTCCAGCCATCTGAAGGCAGCACAGTGAAGTGAGCCAGCTCCACAGTTCCAAGTTACTCAAATAGTTTTTATCCCAGGCAGAAGTTCTGGCTCTGCCACAGCCCAGGGCCTCTTCCATCTCACTACAACTGCAAAGCAGTTTTTCCTCAGCTTGGGATTTTTGGTTAACAAAGGAATGACAAGCACAGATGGACCCAACCACAGCAGAGCTTTAAAGAGACATGTCTCAAACTAAAAACAGAGGCTCCTACTTCTGTCTGTTTCTGCTCCAAGCCTCTCCAAGCCACTCTATGCTTTCTGTTATTTCCACTGTGGACACAGTAACAGAAAGTAACTTCAAGAAACTCTTGCCCAGCCACCCCAGATAGAAACACTGGAGGGGCTCTCCCAGAAGCGCTCTTCACCAGGGGTGCAGCAAACAGCCAGGGCTGCTCTACACCATACATCACACACACAAATCATGGTGCAGCACACTGTATGAGAAAGAGCCTTTACTGCCTCTGGACTTGCTCACAAAACCTCAGAGCAGCACTCAGTGCTGTGTTCTTGAGGTAGCAGCTGAAGGAGAGGCATGCAGGAAAATGGTTACCAAACATGCAGTAGCACTGAGCAGCTCCCTTTGAAGGCAGTGCTGGGCTTCCTTTCCAGCAAGACCTGGCAGTGACAATAAACCATAAGCAGGTTCTCTGTTCACCTCTCCGACTCTCACAGCCCAGGGCATGTTACACAATCTCCCTGTCGCTGTTCCATCAGCCAGAGCTCTCACAACACTTCTGTGCAGCCCAGGGCTGGGCTGGGCAATGGGCACAGTGCTGCTGGTGCCAGCTGTGTGTGGCCGCTGGGCACTGAGGGAAGCTTTGGTACCTATTTCATCAGAGCAGACTTGGTCTCTAGATATTTGTCCTAAAGACAATCTGAGTGTTTTGTTTTAGAAAAACAGGATTTGAGAAAGGAAAAGCATTAACTCAAGGCCAGATGGGCCTCTTCCTCTAACAGAAGAAGAAAAGGTCACACGTGGCTTTTATCATAGATGCAGCATATAAGGTAAAAGCAGATGCCTTAGTTGTTTCATACATGAAGGCTCCTCCAGAGATACCAGACGGAAAATAAGGGTGGCACCACGGCCTTTCAGCAGATCTGTTCCTTCTCCCATGAAAGCCCACAGAGGGACCATCTTCATGGCACACCCCCACAGCCTGCCTTCAGGCACACGGCCTGGCTGAGATCAGCTGGGTTGAGTGCGAGCTGCCAGAGCCTGCTTACTGCCAGGCCCAGCAGTAACAGGCCGTATGTGACACGCTGCCCCAGGTGCCTGAGCACCACTGACAGCAGCACCCAGCGACTGTCCAGACCACCTGAATGGCTTGGATACTGCAGTGCAAGCTGGCAACACAGAAACACACACGAGAACAACCAGTGCCCAGCTCGCTGCACCCAAGTCACTATTTTGTTTTCATCAGAGTTTCTGTCTTGAAGAATGTTTACTCAGCAGCAAGTTTCAGATAAACCAGTTTCTAGCATTTCAAAATGTGCTCAAACAATCTTGTTTACTGACCAGCCTCTAGAAACCAAGCAGCCCAGCTAGACTTCACAGTGCATGGCTTTCTCAGCCTGCAGGTCTTTGCTCGTTCATCCCCAACCCCAGCCGGTGTCAGTGGCACTGGTGATGTGGCCAGGGAAGGGCTTGGCCTACAGGTATCATGCAGCCTCCATGTTTGTTCTTTCTCTTAGAACCACCTTCTATATAAGTGCAAGACGTGCATGCCAGCAGGCTGAGCAAACCCATGCATCTGTCCCAACAGGTCTGTATAGATCCCAGCAGGCACTTCAGCAGGGACATCACACAATGTGGCCATCTGTTTGCAAGGATGGAGCCTTAATGATGAGAGATTCTCCAAAACCCAGATAGTAAAGAGCTACAGTGTTGATTAGTGAAGGGTGACAGATAGAGGCTGTCACACTTTGCTGTTTCAAAACTTCAGAAGTACCTCTGCTGCTATAATACAGCAGTTAATGCTATGATAGAACAGCACTATCAGTAAATGTACAGCATGGATTTTCCTAATATTGCCATCTTTTCAACAGAAAAAGACGAATTCTTTGTTCCACAGTGGAATAAAATTGGTTCAAATCAGACACTAGAAATGCCAGTTTCATAGCCCAGCTTTGTTACAAATACTCCCACCAAATCATAGAGCTTCTATATCTGCTTATTACTTGCCCTCATTTGTAGACAGCAAATATTTATCATATTTCATATTGCTCCCTTGCAATAAAGACAAAGCAGGAGGTACAAAGAGAGATGCAAAATCTTATAGCAAGAGCCCAGTCCATGAAGCCAGATGGGAGCAGGAAGCCTGCAGGACTCCAACACACCCATGGAGTTTGCTTCCTGTCACGGAGCAGTCAGAAGTGAGGCGACGATTTCCAAAATGGCATTTACATAACTCACGTATAAGGCAGAGCCACTGAGTTACAGGCTTCTAATATGTGACCACAGCAGGTTTATTCTATTTATATTCCGTAGGCATGTTACCCTCATTAGAGCGGGATTTGTAACAGCTAGTGTAACCATCAGAGCAGGGCAGTCTTGCATAGTATGGCCCTGTTGCTGAAAACCCACTCCTTCCATGAGCTTCAGCTTTTGAAGCATGCTGGCAATCACTAACAAAGCATTCAACATTTTAGCTGATGTTCTCTTTCTCTCAGGGAACGCAATAACCAAAATCTAGCACATGATTGTATCACAGCAGCAATTCTAAAACACATGCTTGTTATTTTACACATTACAATTTAGAAACAGATCCTGGTAAAAAAGGGTTAATCCTCAACACAACTTCCCCAGTTTCAGCATCCTCACCACCCTGGAGAATCATCAGGGAAATTCACGAACCATGCAGGGAGCCCATGAGGACTGCAGCTCCTCTTCCACGTGGGAGATGGGGAGGAGACCTGTCTTGGAAGCGAGCAGAGAATCTAGTCATTAAAGTGAGCGTGAGCCACAGAGCTCCCATAAGACAGGCTTCCAAAGGCAGTTCAAGAGCCAGATGTGGTCATAGCAGCTGTTTCGACCAGACCAGACTGATCCACCTCCAGTAAAGCTCTGCCTCCCGCCCAGCAGCACTTGAACTTTCTGCCTCCCACTCCCCCAGCAGAATTTCTCTCTTGTGTTTTGGAGACTGAACTTTCCTGGAGCCAAACTCTGCACAGCTACGACCCCTGGAATGTGTGCTGGAATGTGGAGAATACACTGTGCTCTAGGAAGCTAGCATCTGGCAGAATGCTGGAACTGAACAAACCTCACGCATTTGTATCTGCGAACTGACAGTTTGCTACAGTTTCGGGAATAACAAGACAGCACTTAAATCAACTTCAGTCTTGTGACAGCAGTTAAACATTCAAAAAGAAGTGCAGGACTGTTCCATCTGTGTAGGGCTCATGCAATCTCTCTGAGTAGAACCACTTTCCCTTCTGCAGAACAGAACAACGGCATGACAGTATTTTAATGTAACTTCTACTGAACCCGAGTATGAATGAGCTTTGTTTCTTGATAAATATTGTCTGTTTTTAGATTCTAGTGCCACGGATGCATTTTCTTATTGGTGCAAAGAATAAAAACATTTTGGATTAATTCTTAAGTTGATATTGTAATGTTGAGAAAATGAAATATCCGGTTGCAACCAACCGAGAGGTCAAGTTTTCCTCTGGTTTGCTTAAGTGCTTATTTACACACTGGAAATTTTCAGGGAGGAAGGCTCCACTCCTGAGAAGGGATAACATGCACAAAGGCAAGTGGGCAGGTCTTCCCCTCTTAAAGGAAAAAGATTCCATTCACACATGTGAAGCATGCTGCACTGTTTTCAGAATGTGATTGCTTTGGCAGCACATATGTCATGTTTTATTTGCAGTAGCACATATGTTGGCATAACACTACGGGAATTGTATTAGATTGTGTTTGGCATAACACATATAAGTAGCCTTAATAAACCAGAGCCACAAGTCACCTACCTGAAAATTGATAGGGAAAGTGTAACAAGCATCCATAGACTGTGTATGGGAACTGCTGAGTCACGGCCTGAACCTCTGATTGATCACCTGAGGTGAGCCATGAGTCAGCCAGAGGAGCACAGCTGAAGGCAATTCACTGTGCTGCCGGAAGGGGTGGAGCCAGGCTGCACCCCTCCTAGACCTATTTAAGAGCTGGCTACCAGAGGGGAAGGATCTCTTCTGGAGATCCCCTCTTTTGGTGTCTTCTGGTGAGCTCAGCTGAAGGGTAAGCTCTTCCACTTATTCTCTTTTTGTTATCGTTGTCTGCTTTACCTTACTCTCTTGATTATATTGCGATTATAACATCTTGATATCTATTGATTATACACAATTATATTGTGATTATAACATATTGGTTATACAGACTGATATTTCTCTCTTTAAGTCTCTTGCAAACCAGCGGCTGATTCTGGGATAACGTGTTTAATAGTCCTTGCTGGCCCTCTCTACCATTAATCTGCCTAATCACTTTTTGAACACATTTCTGTTTTGGCATCCAGAACATCCTGTGCCAATTTGCTCCACAATTCACTTTTAACACTGTGAAAAAGCACTTCCTTTTACCTCAATTGTTTCAATGGGTACACCCTGACTTTTATGCAATGTTATTGCTCTTGTTGTTCTTCTATGTGCCATTCACAGCCTTTACTAAAGTTCCCTGCATTGGTATCTTTTCCAGGTTGAACTATTTTCAAGTAATCAGCCCCTTTTTATACAGATGCACCTCCATACCACATCATCCTCTGAATCTTTTCTAGCTCTGCAATTGCTCTCTTGGGCTCAAAAAGGACTGATGAGAATGGGACAAGCAGACTCAAGATGTGGTTGTAAACTGGATCCATTCAGTGACATAGCAAGTTAACTGCTTTGTCCTTGGTTTCCTTCTTGGTCCATTCCAACCCTTCTATTTGTTTTCTGATCTGCTGAAAATACAGCATTGAGCTTGTATTTTGAGAAATCTGTCCACAGAGACCTCAAACCCTTTCCTGAGAGGAAATAGGTCTTTCAGAGCTCAGCATTAGGACTATATATTTAGGGTGATCTTTCTTCTGTGGGTGTTTTTCAATCCTAGGCAATATCCACCTTTCTACTGATGACTTGCTCAAGTTCAAGCTGGCAGTAGATGCAGACAGAAGACAGCAGACACTGGAGTACTGGGAGCAGATGACTTAACTGCACAGAAAGGCATTGAAATCCTGCAGTTGTAACAGAGCTTACATGTTCTTCCTTGACATGCCAGCACTGCACCTACACACAGCATGACTTTGTTTTCTGCTGTGGCAGGGTACACATACAATAATAAGGACAGCAGGGCACCAGCAGCACACAAACTGGGGCTCTTTGATTAAGACCAGCACAGTGCCCAGGTTTAACTTTGGTTCCAGTGGCACGAGGACAACATCCCTGGTTAAGAAATGGTGGAAGCTGTGTACATTGGTGTATGCAAATGGAAACAAACTATTGCATAACACTGAGGCCACTCTGTTGAATGCTTGACACGATGCTGCTTTGCACGAATATTTGAGGTTCCCAAAGGTGTGCTAAAGCTAACCAAAAGAAGCGAGACAGCTTTGAAGTTCACCTTAATTGTTGAGGTTGGTTAACTGATTTCCTGATTTTTATCTGAAGAAGCATCCAGTTTTGTTTTATTGCAGAACAATATAGAAGAGTTAAATCACATATAATACAAACACAAGGTTTTGTCACAAGGCTATTTTGGCAGATTAACTAATATCAGTGGAGCACTCTGAAGATGTAAAGAGCTACAGGAGCACTCAATTTTATCCTCATTGCTACTTATCATTAGCACTACAATACTGAGGCTCTTCTTTGCCCTTTACTCAAGTGAGACATGCTGCAGCCACTTTCAACAGTCCAAGTTGCACAGAACCTGGGCTAGGGGCACAAAAGACCAAAAGAAAGATCCAAGTTGGCAGCAGCACAAGCTCCTGCAGAGTTAAACTTCAGAGAGGGAAGGAAGCCTAAAATATGCAAACGGCTGCCAGGCAATTGAAGGCTGTTCACTGCGGTTATGGAAAAAATATTTTCTATATAAATTCTTGGAGAGAATGCCAGGAAAAAGCAAGCAAGCCCCTTTTATGGAAACCAACAAAAACAGATTCAAGGCCCTGCTTTACCATCTCCCTCTTTAGTATTTTATTACAGATTTTGCTCCTGCACAAGCAATTAATAAACTGCAGCTTGGTAAAAAATATGCTCTACTTTGGCATTCCTATGGATACTTCAGCAAGTCTTTAGTTCTAACACAATATTTGCTAAACAGTTTTGTCCAGTCCCCTCCCTTCTGAACTAACCTGGAGCATTTGCTCTTGCACGCCATTTGTCCCTAGCCCAACTACCACATTCAGCTGTTGCATCTTTTCTTCACAGCTCTGTAGGGAGCAAGTCTTCAGTTTATGACTTTGGAAAATCTGTTACTGGTGGGCTTAAAATTAACCTGGGAGGGCAAGGAAGAAAAATTAGATCCCCTCTAATTTTGGCCTAAAGATTCTTAGAGCTCGAAACAGAAGTCTAAACTCAAAGGTGCTTGTCTTCATGCAGAAAACTTCCATCAGTATCAGAGATGCGAGAAATATTTTCCTCAGTGTTACTGTACACTGGCACAGTTAGCTGAGTGAGAACAATTTAAGAAGGAAATACACACAAATATCAGAAAAATGTGCTTACCTGTAATTCTAAAACCAAACCAGGTTTATCCACTGGCTCACAAACTGCATCATGGCAGATGCCCATCTCCTGCAGCTCCAAGGGAATGTTGATCCATGGGAGACTGATTCTGCCTGCACTGGTTGATTCTCTGGATAGAACATCATCTTTGCTGAAAGATCAGCAGCAAAATTAGATGAAATCACACCACTTTGAGAGCATCACAAAAGTACAGATATTTAAATGCCATGTCCTTACCAAATGTTCGTGTTTGCCTAAATCATTCTTGCTGCACAATCATCCAAAGAAATGAATGCTTTCATTTTTGCAGACTTCAGAATAATTTTTATGTATTTATCTCTTAGGCTCTTTTGGAATTCATAAATCATACTTAATGAGAAGTATTAGCTCAGACTTACTGCAATTATGTAATGAATGTTTGATTTCTGGCTTGCAGCCTGAAAAATACATAGATTTCTGTGATCTCTAGAAAGGTAAAGATGAAACCCCATGTGTTAATTAGGGGCTAATAGCTTTAGTTCACTGCAATAGGAAGATTTTTTTTTTTTTTTAAAGCTTTCCAACTCTGATGAAGGTCTGCTATTCAATTAGTCTTGAGTAATTTACATCAACTGGCCAAGCAATGACAGCCTAAGAAGCTATTGCTTTCTCCATAAGATCTTTTACTCTGGGGCAAAAATGCATTGCTTTTATATTACCAGTAGTCACCATCTGGCTGTACTGTTGCTTCTATCCTGCTAGTACAGACAGAATTTAGTGGGTCCTACCCTGCATCTGTGTAGCATAAACCCCACAGATCTGCCCATATTTCACTAGTTATTGCTACTGAATCTGCTGCAGTACAAAAAATGGAAAGAAAGAAAGAAAAAAAAATTCTACATGGCATAATTTTTGACTAAATTATTTAAATTGGTATACATTATATATGGCTGGAAATAGGTACGTGAATGCACCAAAATAGTAATAAAAAAAGAAGCCTACATTGATAATGAGGGATCCCATTTCATCGAGTTGAGGAATGTGCTGTTCCTACTGAGCCCAACAGAAGACCCTTCTCTGATAAGATCACAGCACAAGCATCTTGTTCACAGGAAACACTGCATTCTGACACAAGGACAATAGCAGGGGTTATAGCAAATCACACATGCCATTCCTTCTGCTGTTAGCCCCTCAGACTAACGGGTTGCAGAAAAGCTTACAGAAAGACAACAGCGAATTACTGTCAAAGATATTCTAAGGGATTTTAAAAAAATAATTCATTTTTGGGCAATCAAGAAGAATCCAAGAGATGAAGTGAGGATTTGACTTATCCTTCATGTTAAATGCAAGCAATCTCAGTCAGATCATTTGAACAGATTTGTCATGAGTATGACTGTCTAAAATCAATTTGCTTAGTGACTTTGAATAATACAATCACCATTCCCTTCCACAAGATCTTTCTCTGGGTTTCGTAACAGATTTCCTATACACCAACTAAAAAGGAGAAAAGACATATTAACCATCATCACCTAGACAGTCATGATGTTTAGTCACCAAATAGCTGTTATCTGAAATACAAACTCAGTAGCTTTTTATATTATGTGTATTTAATAGAATGTCTCTTCCAAAGAAGAGCTAACCTAGCACACCTGAGTCCTCTGGAGCATGAGCTTTCCTCCCTAACAAAGAGATGGGTGTTATCAGGAGTAGGAGAAAGCAGCCATTCCAACTCACCCATGTCATGATGCACTGAAGCACATATGGAAGGAGAACTGGAGTGTAAATTGTAAAAGGGAAATGCAGTTCTGCTAGAGCACAGTGGCCTATAATCAGACTATGGTAGATGGTATCACACCACTAGAGAAATTTCAAACATGGTAAGAAATAGTCAAATAACAATAAATAATAACTCAGTGCTGATACTATCACACCCCATTTTTTCTGTAGGTAATTGTCATGCCTCACAGCCCTCCACCAGGAGCTTGGTATTGTCACTGCCATCTCACCTTGAAGCATCTCACTGGGGAGCTGAATTACTGATCAAATCATCCAGCAAATTATTGCCATAGCAGATTAATCAGCTTTCTTAAGCTGCCCTAAGTCAACTAGCACAGCTCTTCTCCAAATCACTCTTTTGTTCAAAGTGAGAAGGTAATTACAGGACAGGCAGGGAGGACCTTGAATCTAGAGGAAATGCAGCTACTATTTTTCCCTCCAGAAGGTCAGAAACCCTATACAGACAGATATTCAGCACTCCTTCCTGTCAGCAGCTCACAAGTTGCATTTGAAAGAAAGATGGAGACTCAGGTTTGTGCTTATCCTTCACCAGCAAAGCCCTGCACAGCTGCAGGTGTGCAATCCTGGAAGAACAGGGACTTGTCCTTAGGAAACTGGCAACGTGATGCTGATCTATGTTATTTTGCATACCAGAGTGAAAGGTTATTGCTGACATGGCAACTAAACAATCAGAGCTAAGAGCCACCAGACCCTCATCTGTGGGGATGCACATACCCTGCAGAACCTCAAGTTTGAGGTTCAAAATAGCTCTACCTTGTGTGCAGACTGAAATTGCTGTCGAGGTTCTCATTTCCAGCCGTAAACTCAAGATCAGCCTTTGGTATCTCTACATTGCTTTGCAACTTATTTGGATTTCATAGCAAACACTTGCCTTGCAGTGCGAATCTCTGAATGCTGCCACAACAAAAAGCACAAACTGTCCTCCTTCTCCTGACTACATATTTTCTCCCACAGTGAAAACTGTCATGCAGCTGCAGCAAAAATTTGTGCAGTCACAGCCCAATTATGATAACGATCATTTAAAAAAGCCTCTTTGCAGGGGAATGCAAATGAGTGCACATGAGTGCTAGTTATAGGTGGATTGATATTTGTAATCTAATACAATTTCATTTACCCCAACTTTTCACAGAAAAACACAGCTGTGTTATCCACAGAGGCAGCCCTGATAGGCTGAATTTAAGAATTAATCTACTTGCCACTAGATGGCAGATCTCAATTACTAATCTATGTTGGAATTCTGGGTTGCCATTAAATAATAAAGCAAGTAAATAAAAATAGTCTCTCTATGCTAACATACCTATTTATAATCATGTTTGCTTTCCATTTTTAAACCAGACAGTTAGGAAAAAAAAAATATCTAAAAATACACTACCTGCCAGTGAAAATCTAGCTTGATTCTTCACATCTTCACATCTACAACCAAACAAAATTAATAATAAAATCCATCACAGATGGATTATTTATATAAGTTTGTACATCTCCCCACAGCCACAATTCTAGTTGCTTCCTAAAACTGCTGGCACTGCTTTACCTTGTTTCCTAGGCGATGGCTCTATCTCATACTTAACCTGGACACTGCAACTGGATGGATGTCACTAGATACTCTCCCCTGCCTGTAGCTGTTTCCAGTACCATGGGATACAGTGGCAGACAGCCACATTGGTACCAAAGAAGAGTAACAGAGGGATATTAATGCATTCTTGAGCAGTTCTTTACGATCAAATCTGCTGAACAGTTATTTAATGCCCAAATCCTCTGATAAACCTAAAAGGCAAAAATTGTGGTGATCTTAACACAATAGAAGAGGGCTGCACTCAACAGTTTCAAAACAGTGTGCAAACCTTGTCACAAACGTGTTGCTACCACTCTAAAAATAGGTACATGCCTCCACCCAAGAAGGGCTCTGTACATCAAAACTAATAAATAGTTTCCTCATTGCCTTGAAATAAAGAGTGAAAAATTGGCTGAGATACTAAGTGCCCACTTCTTCAATCAATTCCTTTTCTCTAAAACAAAACAGAGACCATTGTGATGCTTTTTAGGATTTTTTTAAAATGAAAACAGAATATTCAGAATCAGCTGAGAAATGAAAGCTACAATGACAATCCTAATCCAAATAATTGTTACATCAGAGAATCACAGTTGTCAAAGTAAAATTCAACAAAATCTAGAAACCAGGCCCAAAAAGGTTTATTCTTCATACTTTATCTGTGCATTTAGCTCTCTGACTAAGAACCTTTCCACTGCTTTTGCCAGCAGAAACTTAAGGTCACCACTTCCCATTACAAGTACAGTCAGCTGAAAAACATCAATCCAGTCTATGTTCCTGACTATTGCGATGGCTTCATTGCAGAGTTTCTGCTGCTCCGCAGGAGGCAACTCCATTAAAATCTGAGGGACTGGCTTGAAGTGTCCACTGGTCATCCAGGCACCAAGCAGTCCACCAAGAGCTCCTCCTAGAAAATGAAGAGAGATGTTACTCCCTACTATTCGACCAGAAATTCTAGAGAGACTTTCATCAATAGAGTTCACCTCCTCATTAGAAATCAGCACAGAGTTGAATGAACAAGGCATATCTATTTTCAGTGAGGTGATGTAATGTGATTTCAGTGACAGGGCACCTTTTAAACTATATATACAACACT